GACTCTCTCATGGACTGGCACGTAACCCTGACGAAGTCGGAAGGAGTCCGACGAAAGCTTGGTGTAGTTTTGTTTTATGTTTTATGTTATTAAACTTTGTATAGTTTAATATACTCCTGGTGTTCACAGTTTGTTTTTGGAAAGATGATCACACCCAGGAGTCACTGTTTTAGTTTTAGTGTTATTAGAAATATATATACATAGATATATATGGATATACAGATAATTCTCGACTTACAGTTCCTTTAGTGACTGATCAATGGCACTGAAAAAGTGACTTTTGATTGGTTTTCACACTTATGACCATTGCAGCATTCCCATGATCATGTCCCGGCATCATGTGTTCACCTTTATCTACAGACCCCTCACATCCTGGACATAAACTGTTTCAACTTCTTCCATCAACACGACGCCATAGGGCATTGCACACCAGAACAGTTTTTTCCTCAATGCCGTCACTCTGCTTAACAACTTATTCCAACAACAACGTCAAACTACTTAGTAAAGCTGTATTACTATTCTCCTCATCTTTCCTATCACCTATCCTTATCTTCTTATGACTATAACTTTGTTGCTTGTCTCTTACGATTTATATTGTTTTATTTAGTACTCTAGTATGACTGATGTTGTTTGGTTAGGAGTATCTTATGACTATCACTAAGTGTTGCATCTCATGATTTATGGTGAATGTAATTTTATGTTGTTTGTGATCATGATTTATCACTATTACTTATATGTACACTGAGAGCTTCTGCACCGGAGACAAATTCCTTTTGTGTCCAACCACAGTTGGCCAATATTCTATTCTAGTCTGCTCTTTTGCAACCTTCTGACAAACAAAGTCAATGGGGAAGCCAGATTCACTTAACAGCTGGGTTACTAACAACTGCAGTGATTCACTTAACAACTGTGGCAAGAAAGATCATAAAATGGGGCAAAACTCACTTAATAACCGTCTCACTTAACAACAGAAATTTTGGACCTGTAAGTCGAGGACTACCTGTATTGATATATAGATATATAAACTTTGCTTGCTCCTGGGGAGGAAAGCTATGGCAAATTTAGACAGCATACTAAAAAGCAGAGACATCCCCCTGCCAACAAAAGTGCGTATAGTCAAGGCCATGGTTTTCCCAGTTGCAATGGATGGCTGTGAAAGTTGGAGCATAAGAAAGACTGAGCGCCAAAGAATGGAGGCCTTTGAACTATGGTACTGGAGAAGACTCCTGCGAGTCCCCTGGACTGCAAGGCGATCAAACCGGTCAGTCCTAGAGATCAACCCCGACTGCTCTTTAGAAGGCCAGATCCTGAAGTTGAAACTCAAGTACTTTGGCCACCTAATGAGAAGGAAGGACTCACTGGAGAAGAGCCTGATGCTGGGAAAGATGGAGGGCAATAGAAGAAGGGGACGACAGAGAATGAGGTGGCTGGATGGAGTCACTGAAGCAGTAGGCATGAGCTTAAAGGGACTCCAGAAGATGGTAGAGGACAGGAAGGCCTGGAGGAACGTTGTCCATGGGGGTCGCGATGGGTCGGACACAACTTCGCAACTAACAACAAACTTTTTTTCTGTCCCACTTACCTACTGCCAATATCCTGGAACTCTGTTGCAGTGACCATGTTACGTGCCGATTGAGCAGCATCAGGGCCATTTTATTCAATGGGATTTTTCTTCAGCCGCAAAATGAATTTTTCTTCTTGCCTCCTGCTAATTACCTGTAAAGAGAAGTAGGCAAAATTACCACTGGAAACCTCCCCAATAATTTTACCATGGAAGATCAGCAAAACAAGACTCTTCTCTTTAAAAAAATCAGGAAGCTTCTATCTAGATCTTAAGATTCTGGTTTGCAAAACTCACAAATAAGCAAATGGTGCATTTGTGGCCAAATTACCTCTCAGGTTGGATTCTTAAGCTTCAGCTGGTAATTGAAATGTTTTTGGGTTTAGCCATTATCTTGAACTACAAATTAATCAACCCAGAAGGTTAATGTATCACAGTAAACCACATAAAACCTACCCCAAAACTGATCCTGAGCTTAGCCTGTTTTGTCGTGTGAACAAATTACTCCACGTGGCTTTCACTCAACANATCAATGGGGGGAAGCCAGATTCACTTAACAACCATGTTATTAACTTAACAACTGTAGTGTGATTCACTTAACTGTAGCAAAGGTCACAAAAGGTCATAAAAGGGGGCAAAACTCAACAAATGTTTCACTGAGCGGCAGAAATTTTGGGCTGATTTTGGTCATGAGTCAAGGACTACCTATAGATAGGGGTTTTTTTTTATATTACGTACACAATTCTTTTGTGTACATTTTATGGATATCAAATGGAATACCCTTCAAATAAAAGAAGGCGAAATGTGCCCTTCCCCCACAGGAAAATAGAGAAGGGGAGAAAAGTTGTGGACTTTTCCAGGAAATCGCAACCCTCAGCCAAAAGTGCTTGGCTACTTGTGTCATTTGAACAGCTAAAAGAGCAACAAACGGTCAGGAGCCTCTCAGCAAGTAAACAGCTCTTAACACACAGCCTGGGAGCGTGGGCTTTATTTATAAAATGCTTCCAGGATAATGTCAGATGTGACTGAGGAGAAACTGGGTTCAGGAGCTTGTGCCCACTCAGAGTTATGCTTTCCCTAGCATGGGGATGCTAATGCCAAAATAATGATAATTATCTAAGCTGTGCAGCGAACCATAATCATCCCATGGGAACCGAACCAAGGCTGCTTACACAGTGCTGCACACATTCCTTGGGCGCAAGGCGGAAAAGCTACAGGAGCTGAACGAAGATCCTGCACCACAGAGAGAAGCTACCACATGATTCAGAGGTGCAGAGAAGGCTGGCTGGCTGGCTGGCTGCCAAGGGGAAGAGCAAACTGGGCTTGGGTCTCCTTGAAGGATTTTCAAATGCAAAGGATCTGGGGCAGGCAAGGGCATGTTTTGGGGGGGGGTCACCTAAAAGAAATAACATAATGATTGTTATATCTTCTGCAGTTTCTGTTAGAAAGATCAGAACTGGGCTCAAAAAGTTTGTCTGAAGGCCCCTAAAGTAGGCAGACAATGGATGTACAGAAAGTGTATTTCATAATCTACAATTTTTGAATTGTTAAGCAGCCCAGACAAGATAGATAGATAGATAGATAGATAGATAGATAGATAGATAGATAGATAGATAGATAGATAGATAGATAGATAGACAGAAAGACAGACAGACAGACAGACAGATGATAGATAGATAGATAGATAGATATGGATAATGATAAGATATATGGATAATGATAGATAGATGATAGATAAAGTTAAATGATAGATAGATAGACAAACAGACAGACAGACAGACAGACAAACAGACAGACAGACAGACAGACAGGCAAACAATCTTTCCAAAGCACCAGAAGGCAAGACAAGAAGCAATGGATGGTAACTAACCAAGGAGAGAAGCAACCTAGAACTGAGGAGAAAATTCCTGACAGTGGGAACAATCAACCCACAGAGCAGTTTACCTTCAGAAGTTCTGAGTGCTCCATCACTGGAAGTTTTTAAGAAGAGATTGAACAATCATTTGTCTCGAATTGTATAGGGTCTCCTGTTTGAGCAGGGGGTTGGACTAGTAGACCTCCAAGGTCCCTTCCAACTCTGTTATTCTGTCTTTTATCTACCTCACCTGGAATCTCCCAAAATGTTATCTGTGCATATACTTTATTTTAATCCTGTGTATTTGAATCATTTTGATGCCAGATGGTTTTATTGCTGATTGTGTCAGGGTCTTATGGAAAATTATGTGCAGGGCTTTTTTGAGTGGTATAAAAATAAATTAAACTGATTTATTGTCATTTCATTCTGGGGATCTGAAGGCACTGTGGGTGTTCCATGGACTCCAGTATTTCTAGCTGCTGCTATATGCTTTTTGGGGCATGTGATAATTTTTTTTCATGACCTACGAATTGCAACATCAAAGGGTTTTTAATTTCATGTTGACCTCAATACTCTGCCAATATAGCTACTCTTATATTCAGACTCCAGATGTCCCACCGTGATTTAGAGCCTAAGGCAGTCTTTCCCAACTTTGGCAACTTTAAGATATATGGACTTCAACGCCGTCACTCTGCTTAACAACTTATTCCAACAACAACGTCAAACTACTTAGTAAAGCTGTATTACTATTCTCCTCATCTTTCCTATCACCTATCCTTATCTTCTTATGACTATAATTTTGTTGCTTGTCTCTTACGATTTATATTTGTTTTATTTAGTACCCTAGTATGACTGATGTTGTTTGGTTAGGAGTATCCTATGACTATCACTAAGTGTTGCATCTCATGATTTATGGTGAATGTAATTTTATGTTGTTTATGATCATGATTTATCACTATTACTTATATGTACACTGAGAGCTTCTGCACCGGAGACAAATTCCTTGTGTGTCCAACCACAGTTGGCCAATATTCTATTCTAGTCTGCTCTTTTGCGACCTTCTGACAAACAAAGTCAATGGGGAAGCCAGATTCACTTAACAGCTGGGTTACTAACAACTGCAGTGATTCACTTAACAACTGTGGCAAGAAAGGTCATAAAATGGGGCAAAACTCACTTAATAACCGTCTCACTTAACAACAGAAATTTTGGACCTGTAAGTCGAGGACTACCTGTATTGATATATAGATATATAAACTTTGCTTGCTCCTGGGGAGGAAAGCTATGGCAAATTTACACAGCATACTAAAAAGCAGAGATATCCCCCTGCCAACCAAAGCGTGTATAGTCAAGGCCATGGTTTTCCCAGTTGCAATGGATGGCTGTGAAAGTTGGACCATAAGAAAGGCTGAGCGCCAAAGAATGGAGGCCTTTGAACTATGGTGTTGGAGAAGACTCCTGCGAGTCCCCTGGACTGCAAGGTGATCAAACCGGTCAGTCCTAGAGGAGATCAACCCTGACTTCTCTTTAGAAGGCCAGATCCTGAAGTTGAAACTCAAGTACTTTGGCCACCTAATGAGAAGGAAGGACTCACTGGAGAAGAGCCTAATGCTGGGAAAGATGGAGGGCAAGAGAAGAAGGGGACGACAGAGAAGGAGGTGGCTGGATGGAGTCACTGAAGCAGTAGGCATGAGCTTAAAGGGACTCCAGGAGATGGTAGAGGACAGGAAGGCCTGGAGGAACGTTGTCCATGGGGGTCGCGATGGGTCGGACATGACTTTGCAACTAACAACAAACTTTTTTTCTGTCTCACTTACCTACTGCCAATATCCTGGAACTCTGTTGCAGTGACCATGTTACGTGCCGATTGAGCAGCATCAGGGCCATTTTATTCAATGGGATTTTTCTTCAGCCGCAAAATGAATTTTTCTTCTCACCCCCTGCTAATTACCTGTAAAGAGAAGTAGGCAAAATTACCACTGGAAACCTCCCCAATAATTTTACCATGGAAGATCAGCAAAACAAGACTCTTCTCTTTAAAAAAATCAGGAAGCTTCTATCTAGATCTTAAGATTCTGGTTTGCAAAACCCACAAATAAGCAAATGGTGCATTTGTGGCCAAATACCTCTCAGGTTGGATTCTTAAGCTTCAGCTGGTAATTGAAATGTTTTTGGGTTTAGCCATTATCTTGAACTACAAATTAATCAACCCAGAAGGTTAATGTATCACAGTAAACCACATAAAACCTACCCCAAAACTGATCCTGAGCTTAGCCTGTTTTGTCGTGTGAACAAATTACTCCACGTGGCTTTCACTCAACANAAATTTTTGCTCTGTGGGCTGTGGGTTGTGATTTACAGGTAGTCCTTGACTTATGACATATTGAGCCTAGAATTACAGTCATAAATCATTGTGGCGGTTAATTGGGTCGCCATGGGACCACGCCTGATTTTACGATTTTTGCAGCGATCGTTAAAGAGAACACCGCAGTTGTTAAACGAATCCATTTTACCCAATCGGCGTTATTATTATTTTTTTGTTGGAAACCGGAAGTAAACACTGGAAATTGTCAAGAAAATATTGAAGATCGTGGTCACGTGACTGTGAGATTCTGCAAATGGTTTAAAAGTGACTCGGTTGCCAAGCGCCCAAAATGTGATCATGGGACTGTGGGGGGGGGGGCAGCATCGGAACTTTGAAATCAGGTTGTAAGTACCTTTTGGGGGGGGTCATTAATTGAGGATCACCTGTATTTGTTCAAAATGTTAAACCACTGCATTAGGAAACCTATGGCTCAAATATAGAGACCATTGGCCATAATGATCCCCATGCATTAAACTGGGACAAAATGTAAGTCTAACCAAAAGATTTATTCTATTATCTTCCACCCACTGTGTCTTATTTTCCAGTCAAATTGATTTTTTTGATCTGGTCTCCCTGGCGGGGCTGACACTGATGCAAATGTATGCCTTTCAATACAATCTTGAGTCAGAAAAGGTGCTATCAGGCTCTCTCTAAGTTTTGACTACCAGAGACTAACTCAGTTCTTCTCTTCCAATGCCTATCATGCTATCTGGTTGAGCATTATACCGGTCCTCCATACTTCCTTTGCAAAAACAAATAAAAAAGAAATACATCTTTCCTTCCCCCCCAACCCCTCCCCACTCTCCCAGTTTAGCCCCATATTTTTGGTTGCTTGAAAAAAAAATATTTTGATTTTTTCTCTTGGAGGTATTTTTGAGGCTGACTTTTCAATGTGCTGAAAGTGACGCATGGCTGATTTGTGCGATAAG